CCATGGCGTGGCCATACACTAATGGCGCTGCCCGGATGTGGGAGAAGCTCGCTCGCCCATAAAACACTTCACCGGGCACTCAGGCTCTGCCTGCGGCGCATTACGGGGCCGCGCCGTTCTCCAGCATCCCTCTTAAAGCCTGAGCAGGGCCGGCAAAGTGAAGCGGGGCCACTCAGGGCCGGATTCAGCTGCGTGAGGCAGGGCTCTGGGGTGCCGTTCCCCGTGCCCATTTACTTCCACAGCCTCTGTTCCTGGCCCAGTTGCCAGCTGTGGTGCAGCAGGCTGCTGGGGGCCCGGCTGGGATCGAGACGCCGGCGTGGGCGCCATGCACCACCCTTTCCTGGATCCATTCTGGGTGGGGGGATGCAGCCCAGGGCTTTTGCAGCGGTGATTTCCGTGCCTGGGTTTCATGGCCGTGGTGTTAATGCAGAGCTGTGTGGCTCGGCATTGATGAGCGTATTATTTACACAAGTGAATCCGTCTGGGTCCTGGCAATGAGGGACGATGCGGCCGGGCAGAGGGGCTGCATCCCTGCTCTGAGGATGCTCAGAGTTTTTTTGGGTGCCCACAACCCGTCCCAGCTCCCTCGAGGGGCTATACCCAACAAAACTCCCCTGGACACACATGTTTGGGGCCCCTCAGGCCCATCCTGCCGTGGCTGGGGGGGCTATGGCATGAGCAGCGGTGTCTGGATGGCTGCAGCTTCTGCGGCATGTCTGGGGCCGGGGACTGGGCGGGGGGGAAGAGCCCCGAGAGCGCTGGAGGGAGCCCAGGGAAGAGAGCAGAGCCCGCTGAGGTGGGGAGCAGGTCGGCAGCGTGCCAGCTGGATGCCAGTTTATTAAGCGCGTTCAGAAAACAAACGCGGGGAAGCCAAAGAATGCGGAGAATTTCACGGGCCAATGCTTCCTGTTAGGGGCTGGCGGTTACCAGCACCGCTCGGGGTGCTGCCCGCTGCCCCATGGCCACCGGCGACGCTGCCCTCGCCACCAGTTGTGCCCAGTGCCCCCCCCCTCCCCCCAGCCAGGGTGCAGCTTGGGC